GCGAAAATCGTACAATTTGTTAGACGTTTGGCATTTGAATTGATTGAAAGCCAGCCGGCCAGTGAGCGATGCGATGCGATGCGGAACATGAATGGAAATCCAATGGATGGATGGATGGGTGGTCGAGGCAGGGTAGGAGGCATTCAATATCAATTTCGAATTTATAGCAAGCCGAAAAGTGAGTGCAGTAAATTGAAGTTTGAAATGTGGCGGCTACAACATGCCAGATTCCACGGAATGCGAACTCCAGCCAAGAATCCTGAACGCTTCACCGCCCCGGACCATTTGATCATTTTACATTTTTACAACTTTCTGATTGGATTGCGATTGCCGTCATTGAACTCTAAGGTGGCACTAAACCTAAACACTAAACAGTTGGCTTAAGCAGTTGGCTTCGCCCCTCGATTTGATGAAGACTTGAAAGTTTCATGGCCATTTGAGTGGACCTATGTTGGGAGACAATGTTAAGATTTCTTTCAAGGAGTGAGAAATGTTAGCTAATAGGATATTTCTTACACTTTCATCTTTACCAAACAAAGAGCTATAAGCTTGGCAAAAAATTATAGCATACAGGGCTTAAGACATTACCCATACGCAGTGTATGCCGTATTTTCGATTCTGTTGCAATACATGCAATTACATATTAAAATAAGTGCATTTTAAGTAAGTGATTCTTTTGAAGAGAATAGATATCCTCCAGGTCCACCCCATTTGCATGTGTGTGTGCATTTGGCATGTGCCTTTGTGCTGAGCTGCTGTGCTTTTATCCACTCTGGCACTTGGCTGCTACCGATATGGGATAAGTGCTTCCTGCCGATGCAATTGCTGCATCTGGCTCTAATGATGCCATAATTGCCTTTGTTCTGCTTGCCAGACTGTAAGTGATATGAGTGCTCCCTACCTGCTTGTCGCCTTGTTCTCGTTCTCGTTCCCGTCCTCGTTGTCTTGTTCCCTTGTCATTGTTGGGCGGATAAGTGCCGAGTCCTCGTCAAAGTGCACATAATTGCCCGGGCGGACAAGGCGTTGTCCTTAAAGCTGCTCGGATTTGCTAAAACGAGGGTATCAGTATTACAGTTTCCCAATCGGAAAAGTCCCCCTAAATAGCCGCAGAGAGAACGAAGTGGGTGGCTTGGGGGTGACTTATATCAAAATCTCCCGGAGAAACCAAATCACAGAGGCAAAAAGCAGTGGGCGGGGTGCATCAAAATAAAAGTCAAAAGTGTTGCCAAAGCATAAAATGGACGACAGTCCGTGAAATTAAATGCCAGCAGGACATTGAAAGCGAGCTGAGTCCTGTCACTCCTCTTTGGCTCTCCTCCCAGTTCCTGGCTCCCAGCTCCAAGTTCCACTGAAAATGTAAAAAAAATGAAAACAAAACGAACACAAGCGATTTGTATAGCTGCCAGGATGGGGCAGCGAAAAAATTCACGCACAATTATTTTGCAACGACAAAAGTCATTAAAGTTCGCCTTTGTTATGTGGCAAATGTTTATGTAAAATTTATTTTGTTTCCGCTTTATAAAAGCACTGCCATAGAGCGGCAGAGACAGCATTGAAAATAAAAGCTGCAAAAAACAAGAAAGGAAAGCTAACTTCGGGCGGAGCCGAAGTTTATATACCCTTGCAGTTAAAACCGGATATATATCGCAAACATCGGATATAGTTGGCCGATCCTTATCTGAATAGGAATATATAATCCAATTTATTACAATACAAAATCTAAAAAAAGTCCCAAGCTTCTATCTTCGAAAATACGAAAGTTGATATTTCTACCAAATACCATTTACGATCGTTCAGTTATATGGCAGCTATGAGATATAGTCGGCCGATCCTAATGAAATTTGGTAGGTTGGATAAACTGATTAAAAATAGAATCTGTATTAAATTCCAGCTTTCTATCTTCAAAAACACGAAAGTTGGGTCATTTCCGATCGTTCAGTTATATGGCAGCTATAGGATATAGTCGGCCGATCCTAATGAAATTTGGTAGGTTGGATCAACTAACCAAAAATAGAGTCTGTACTAAATTCCAGCTTTCTATCTTCAAAAACACGAAAGTTGGGTCATTTCCGATCGTTGAGTTATATGGCAGCTATAGGATATAGTCGGCCGATCCTTATGAAATTTGGCATGTCGTATTATTTTGCCAAAAATAGCTCTCATGTCAAATTTGATCTCTCTAACTCTAAAAACACCAAAGTTATACCATTTCCGATCAATCAGTTATATGGCAGCTATAGGATATAGTCGGCCGATCCCGGCCGTTCCGACTTATATACTGCGTGCAAAGGAAAGAAGGGTGTGTGCAAAGTTTCAAGACGATAGCATCAAAACTGAGAGACTAGTTTGCGTAGAAACAGACAGACGGACAGACGGACAGACGGACAGACGGACAGACGGACATGCTCATATCAACTCAGGAGGTGATCCTGATCAAGAATATATATACTTTATAGGGTCGGAGATGTCTCCTTCACTGCGTTGCACACTTTTGGACAAAATTATAATACCCTCTGCAAGGGTATAAAAATCAGCAGCAGAAAACTAGTAGTAAGAGCGGGAAAGCGGCGCAGAAAGTTGCATTGTTTATGTTTATGGCTGTTGGCACATGCTTTATTTTTACGCAGATTTATTTATGGCTATTTTTACTGCATATTCTTCAGCTGCTACTGCCTGGATCCTCTTGTAACCTCAATTCCCCAGACAGCCAGAGTCCGGAGTCCGGTGTCCGGAATTCAACAAAAACAAAATCCTTTCTTTTTTCTATTGATTTTTCACTGGCCAGAAGCGATTATTTGTTTTGCATTTTCCACGCCGTCACCCAAATGACCCCAACACACAACACAGCCCGGAATGGGTATGGGTTTTGAGGATTTTTCAGGGCAGCCTGAATGTGATGGCATCTCGAAAAGCAAATCCCATGCAGGCATCCCAGCCAGGTCTTGTCTAATCCCAACCATTTTACGCTCCCCTGGACCCCAACACTTTGTGCAAATATTTATTGACTCCGGAGCTCTTTTGCATTGAATTATCATCCTGGCTGTCATATGTACATGGACCAGGGACGACCACCACCTTCACCCCAACGCTCCAATTCCCAGCGCCTATTAACTCGTGACAACGACAGCTGATTTCCCAAAGGCACATTTCCTACAACTTACAGAACACAACAATTCAAATTGCATTTATCTAATTTCGGTCTAAACACGCAGTCGCAGCCTTGGACTTTGGCTCGAAACATGTGTGATTTCCCCAAGCGATGATGGCTTTGTTTTCGTGTGTTGGCCAGCTCTGATCATGTTAACCACAAACATGATTGAGCCGAGAGAGCAGAAAGTGATTATTCAATGCCTTTTGCACTCGGCAAACATTATTTGCACTCCATTCGAGTGGCACGGGGGCGAAGGCCTAATCCCATTGATCAACTGGCTTTCAAAGCTAATGATTCACTAGCTGGGGCATTCAGTTATTCCATGCCATCAGTATACCCTCGCTTTCAAACTCCCAGCTACAAATCCTTGCAGTGGAGGACACGGGAGCTGTATTGATTTACATGTCCATGTTTATAGTACAATGGCAAATCCGCGACTCGGCTCAACTTTTACAGGTCGCCGTGCATTTCAATTGATTCCCCATCCGAGGGCAAAAAGCTGAGAGCTGAAAGCCGTTTGTTTTTCCATGTTAGTCGTGGTACGAACTAGTCCTGGAACACCCGGGCTTTGTTGGGCCAGTATATCCAGGCACGAGGGTGGTTATATCCATTTCCTGCCACGGATGCCTAACTAAAAATAAAAGAATATACATGTAGATGTATAAACAAGAAAGGAAAGCTAACTTCGGGCGGAGCCGAAGTTTATATACCCTTGCAGTTAAAACCGGATATATATCGCAAACATCGGATATAGTTGGCCGATCCTTATCTGAATAGGAATATATAATCCAATTTATTACAATACAAAATCTAAAAAAAGTCCCAAGCTTCTATCTTCGAAAATACGAAAGTTGATATTTCTACCAAATACCATTTACGATCGTTCAGTTATATGGCAGCTATGAGATATAGTCGGCCGATCCTAATGAAATTTGGTAGGTTGGATAAACTGATTAAAAATAGAATCTGTATTAAATTCCAGCTTTCTATCTTCAAAAACACGAAAGTTGGGTCATTTCCGATCGTTCAGTTATATGGCAGCTATAGGATATAGTCGGCCGATCCTAATGAAATTTGGTAGGTTGGATCAACTAACCAAAAATAGAGTCTGTACTAAATTCCAGCTTTCTATCTTCAAAAACACGAAAGTTGGGTCATTTCCGATCGTTGAGTTATATGGCAGCTATAGGATATAGTCGGCCGATCCTTATGAAATTTGGCATGTCGTATTATTTTGCCAAAAATAGCTCTCATGTCAAATTTGATCTCTCTAACTCTAAAAACACCAAAGTTATACCATTTCCGATCAATCAGTTATATGGCAGCTATAGGATATAGTCGGCCGATCCCGGCCGTTCCGACTTATATACTGCGTGCAAAGGAAAGAAGGGTGTGTGCAAAGTTTCAAGACGATAGCATCAAAACTGAGAGACTAGTTTGCGTAGAAACAGACAGACGGACAGACGGACAGACGGACAGACGGACAGACGGACAGACGGACATGCTCATATCAACTCAGGAGGTGATCCTGATCAAGAATATATATACTTTATAGGGTCGGAGATGTCTCCTTCACTGCGTTGCACACTTTTGGACAAAATTATAATACCCTCTGCAAGGGTATAAAAACAATGGTGCTCTGCAAATTACTTGCCAGCAGATGCACACAGTCCCCTGGCAGCTGCTCCTGTCGCTTTAAAGCCAATGTGCCGTGAAATCGGCCCTGGCAACTCAATTATGCGGCATGTGGCAAAAGGCCATAGGATTGCCTCTGGAGCCGATCGAATTGAAATGCATCGGATCGGATCGGCTGGGATTAACATTTACACACGCACTTGGCTTGCTGGCCTTGGTTTGACAAAAGCATTTATTAATCGGAATATTAATTTTACAATATTGAAAATCATTAAGCATTAAGTATTAAATGATTAATGCGGCGGTTGAACGAAACAATTTATATTTTAAACAATGTGTTGCTGGAATTAACAGGGCAACTGGGATTTCTCACGGTCTTAATCTTCGCAAGGCATATTCATGGCTCGCATCAATTGCTGTACAGGTTCTCCTCCAGCTTGGAAATCGTCCAAGCTGTCTTGATCATTGGTGGTGTCAAAATCGGTTTCTGTTTCTTCTTCGTTGTTGGAATTTATAGGGCGAGCACCAGTAGATTTACGCCTTCCCAAAACCTTGCACTTAGGAATGTGAATGGCACAGCAACGAGGAAACCAACCTCGAATGGCACCTTCGCGTATTAAGCCATGCTTCTCTTCCTCGGTGATTGCCCTTTCCCCGTAAAGCCAAGAGGACTTGAAACGAGTCACTTTAATGCGATCTCCTAGCTCCAAGGCGATGCGAGGATCATCTGTGCAGGGCGTCTGCAAGGACACGATCAAGCCCTGAGAGAATATCGGCACCCAATGGCCGGTGAATGGACGAATGCATTTGAATAGTTGGGTATTTGCTCGCTTTTCCTTCTTTTGTGCCAGTTGTTCAATCGTCAATGTGAACTGATTGCAACCGGATCTTACTGGAAAGCTTATTCCATCATTGTTGGGGAAGAAGACCTCATTTATGTTCTCTTTATAACCCAGATCGTATGGATATACAAAGGGTTCTATGTTAACGTCCCTATCGCGGCGACATTTTGCCTTATATACTATCCAGTTTTCGATATCGGTACGATTACGGAGAAGCACCTTTACCTGCATTTGAAGTAGTTTTAGGCAAGCTATTGCCACACCGATGGCAATGGCAATGGCAAATACACTCGCAGAGGCACTGTAGAAGCTCAGTGTCACCGTAGCTAAGTGTTCATATCCATTTTTGATCAACCATTTCTTAGTAATGCCCCGAATAAGAGCGTACGCCAGAATCCAGGACGATTGAATAGCTCCAGATAAAAAGAACATCAGAAACAGGATAAAGTTAGCCTGGTTGTTCCATCCTATACAGTTGTTGATCCAAGGACAGTGGTGATCCATCTTGAGGACGCACCGGTCGCAGCGGCGACAGTGATGGGATCGAGGCGCCTTATAGCCCCTACATTTCTTGCAAAATTGTAGAAAATCCACGTCCCTTGGATTCTCCGGGCGCCAATTGCGGGGCAGATAGCCGGGCCCCGAAAAGAACGCCCGCATAAAGTTGTAGATTATGCCCAGCGTGTTGAACCAGATCAGGCCATAGTTTATCTTAGCCAATATGTTCGTCCTGGCTGGCCACCACATCGAATTCATCGTTAACGTTATGTGAAGGACGAAAAAAGTCATCAATAATACGGTGGGTGGGCCCCAGTTCAGGAACCGCCGTAGATCGCTGTTCACCTCTTTCATTTTTGATTTTATAATTATACGTATTTTTTTAAATTTTTATTTATTTTTTATTTCTAAATAATTCCAATTTACTTTTATTTTTGAATACTTTTTTCTTTCCAAATTTATTTATTTTTTTTTCAAATAATTTCAATTTACTGAATATCCGCTCGATTTAAGAGTCCGAATATGACTGAAATCTTTTGAGCCCGAATATCTAGAGTAGGAGTTTCCAAGCCTACTAGGCTCTTCCCAACCCAATCCCTGGCCTACTTGATTCCGGATAAATTAAAAGGCCCTGGCCACACAAAACCCGCGGCGTTGTGGGTAATTAAATAAAGCACAACTATTTAAAACAGCCATTTCACGATAATTTATAAAACTTATACCCAGGTATTGGCAAAAGGCAATGAGACCTGGTCTGGCAGAAGACCTGGCCCTGCATACGCACGTATGTGTCTGCTCTTAAGCCGCAAATGAAAAATATTTTAATCATAAAAAATGCAAATAAATTTAAAAACAATAAAAGTGCAAAATGCGGGTCATAAATAAAATGCAGCCTTAGTGATGCACGGTCGTCGGCGTTGGCATTGGCGTTGGGCGGATGGTAGCTTTTCCGAGTTGTTGGTGTTATTATTATTATTAAGAATTAATAGCAATATTTGCTGTTGCTCTGTGTGGCTTAAAAAATAAATCGAAAAAGTATCTATAACACCCTCCCACAAGGGTATGGGCGGCATGTTCCACAACAAAGCATCATGCGGATTCAATTGAATTTAAAATGTGCCATAAATTCAGTGCATTCAATATGCGAGATGCCTACAATCCGGGTGTGTGCGTGTGGACACAAAGAACGGCATTTTGGTATTATTTATGGGACTATATATATAACAATAATATTTTGGTAGCGCCAAAATTCTTTGGCAAACATTTACTAATGCCATTAATTGATGATAAATGTTTTGCCGCACGTAGACAAAACGTAATCGAAGCTGGGCAATAGAACGCACTTTCAAAGTGCACTGGGAGAAATAATATTGATTAAATTATGTTATTAAGAAAATTTAGATATAATTAATTAATAAAAGTATAAATTCAAAGATACGAATTTTTATCCTGGCACTTTCTGATGGCATCCACCTCCTACAACTCTCAGAACCCGCCTTAAGATTGCTAGTTGATTTTAGACTCACTATCCTATCTAAATAAAATCCTTTTTAAGCTTATCTTTATCATCATTTTATAAGCCAAACTTTATCAAAATAACTTTATACTATTTCTGTCTATGTAGCAAATACCAAAAATGGCCAAAAATAATCGCATTCACCCATAGCGGAATTCCGTTGGCTGGCTTTTTGTTTTGCATTTGGTTGTTGGCCTAAATAGTTTGTTTTTGGACCTCCAGCTGGTGCTTTGATTTTGTTTATGAAATAGTTGCGAGAGGGGCAGTTTGGGCCAATTACCCGCCTGCAGGGCCATAATGGTGGCCTGTCCGTTTGGCTCTTTTTCACTGCCCATGGCCGTGGCACCGTCCGGCTGAGTGCACACATGGTCGACCCTTTGGCCCGTAATGAGTCTCCGGACGGGGATTTGTGCGACTTGCAAGTCCCGTTAGCCAGCTAACTAGGCTAACAAGCTGTGCCATTTACCAACAAAAGCGACAATTGGCCCGAAGCCGAAGCAGAGGTGTAAACTAGCAAAGGTGCCAACGGAGCAAGAAAAAATGGCGTAAATAAAGTCAATTGGAATTTAAAATATATATCCTGAGATGCCCCGGGTGGAGCAGGTGGTAGAGGACCAACATACACGTATAGAGACTTGTAACCCCAGCGACTGGCAACCGAAAGCAATCTATTTTCCTCCGCAGATTAGATGGCAATAAAATTGATTGAAACATAATTGCAAATTGATACAATAGTGGAGGCGAGGCAGTCAAAGAAAATTGCCCGGAAATGCCAAGAGCGCCGAAAGCAATCTATATCTACCCCGATATCAATATCTATATCGAAAATTACTTCAAAGCTAGTCGGTCGTTATGTGCAGTTAGATGAACATCTAAGGGTATCTGTTACCAAGTGTATCCGTATCCAGCTTATGTATCTCTATCTCAAACTCGTCTTCAAGTGAATGGGTTAAATTTTATTTATACTCGGATTACCCAGTGCACTCAAATCGCTTCATTTACGCTTCAAGTGGCTTTAATGCCGTCGAGTGCATATATTTTGCAGTTTATCAGGGAAATTCATGTTGTGTTTTTTTTTTTTCCAACCATCCCGCTGATGAGTGGAAATTGTCAATGCCAAGAGTTTATTACGACGGTTTGCAACGAAAAGTGCATAGCCAAGGGGCCTCGCTTTGTATGGTGCAGAGTTCCGAGTATATCCACAGAAACTTTTTACACAAACTTATTTACTTAATTTGAAAATTAAATTCCGGCATTAAAACACATAAATGACACTTGAGCCCAGCCCGAGCTTGGCTGCTGCGGCTGTTTCTCAGTATGTTTGTTTTTCTTATCAAAATGCCTGCTGCTGGCAGAGTGCTGGCAAATAAGAGTCTATATGTATGTGTGGTATATCCCGCATACATATATATATATATCCCTTAAGACAAACAACGCGTACAAGGAACGAGATGCTGAAACCGAGGATCTCTGGGCTGCGAGCTGTGAGCTGCGAGCCCGGCCAAGTGCACGCTTAAAAGTCAAAAGTGCAGAAAAATGCATGGCACACACAAAGCGGAGAAAGTACAGGGGGCCTGAGACTGTAGCTGGGACTGGGGGCTGGATGGTGGGCCTGGGACTGTGAGGAAAGTAAAAAGGAGCAAAAGACGATGCTCCTGCCAAGACAAACAAGCCGAACAGCCAGCGAAGGAGGCATATAAATTGCGTTACTTGGAAGGATGCGAATGCGGATAACTGATGCGGATGCGGATACGGGTGGGTGGGTTGAGGAGTTGGCCCAGAGCTCATGGGTTAAGGCGGGCATGAAAAGGGGGTAAACGTTTTTGGTGTTTGACATACGACGTGCATTAGCAGCAAAGTCAAGGATTAGCGCCACTTGTTCTTAAGGGCCACCACCGCCAGCCAGCCAGCCATCCACCCATCCAGCCACCATGTTCGCTTTGTGGCATGAAATTTAAATACATTCCGACCATTAAAGTGACTGCGAATCAATTTCGCAGCAAACATGCGAACACGCACATACATACGCTGCCTGCCCCTCTCATGGGACAGGGGCGGGCTTAATGCGGCCAATTCAATTTGGCCAGTTCACGGGAGTCGCATAAAGGCCGACCCGCCGCCAGACACAAGGCTGTGGACACAAAATTTCGCATTTGCCATTTAAAGCCATGCCGCTTTAATGGGCCTGAACTTTTCAACTATCCCACAAAAAAAAAACCAGAAATAGATAGGACAACAAAAAACCAGAAAGGAATAAAGAAAGGCTGGCAGCAGGAAAAAAAATGTAGAATAGAGGAAAAGCGGAAAGACGTCAAGGAAATGCCAAAGCTATCGCAAACGCGTTTCGCAATTTTTGAAAGATGTGTTAAGTCAAAAAATATGCAAATTTCACGCACACAGCCATGAACGGGCGCACACGGCCGGGTAGAGTTAATACGCCCAACGGCAGCGGGCTCCACAGCTCCCAAACTCCCAGGACCCCCCAGGATTCCTTAGAAGCCCCGCAGGACCACCCATCCAAAGTCAGTAAGAGAAATACATATAGAGGTGAGTGAGTGCGAGTGTGTGTGTGTGCGGGCGCCGTACGTGTAATGCATACGAAAGTAGTGAAAATATCATCAATGCCAAAATATGAATATCTAAAAAGGATAACGAAAAATGGAGTCAAAGCCAACAAAAAAAAAAAACGGCATAAAAAAGGGGAAGCGCCAAGAACAGAGAGCCTGTTCCTGGGAAAAAGTGCAAATGTCAGTTTCCAAGTGCCATAACCCGGCTCAGTTCAACTCGGTCCATGACATTTGACAGAAAACTAGACAATTTCCAACTCCTCGGAGATGAAAGACAGGGTTTTTTTCTTGTTGTTATTATTCCTGGGCTACTGTTGTGCCGACATGTCCGGGTAATCAGTTTCCCGTAATTGCATCAACCTTTAAGCGCGAAAACTTCCGGAAAAAAGTTATAGGTAGCTGGGATATTATCTCGTTGATGGCAAATTCATGTGCCACAACTTTATTCGGAATTGTTATCGCGGAGTCGTGTGGAGCTTTTAAAAAACGCTCAGACAGCGTCTGCGATTTTGGCCCAGAGTCTGCCCAGATCCTGGAGATCCTGTTTGGCACCGACCCGCATAAATTTGCCCAGAGTCTGTTGTAAATTACATTTGAAGTAGCAACTTGCACATAAATCTTTAGTACCCGGGGTCAGGCCCCAGTGAGAAAATAATGCAAATACAAAAGCGGAGAAGGAGCGGTATTCCAAAATGGGATTATAAGCTACCTTATAAGGATATCTTAATTATAAGCTAATTTTTCATTAAGAAATATTTATTCTAAAAAATAATTTATTTTTAAGCAAGTCTAGGTCATTATTTTCTTTAATTAAAGGCTTTAATAACAACTTTAATATTTACTTTTGTGTTTTAATGAACTTAAATATTAAATCTTTAAAGTATCTAAAAAAAAATGGTAAGATAACTTCAAGTATCCAGTATCCAGTATCCATGCAAAAAGGACGCGACAAAAGTGTGTCACTCCCAATTGTCGCCCTTCGTCTGTCCGGGCTCTGAATCCGCCACAAGTATGTGTTCGTATCCTGTGCGCTGCTGTTTACATTTGTGTTTGTGAGTCCTGGCATCCGCCTTTCAGTCCGAGGAGGCGACCAACATGAATTACGTACGCCGCAAGTGAAGTAATGAGTACACAGCTGCAGCTTGAGGGACTTTTTGCAGGCAAACAAAAATACAAACAAATGGTATGACAAAAAAAATACAGCGAGTGCGGGACCGGAAACGGAAATAAATATTAAAGCTGCGAGCGGCGAACGGCGAGCGGCGACCGGCGAACAGCGGCCACAATAAATACAATATAAATATGCGATATTTTCAAAAGTCCGACTAATAAA